ACAGAATAGCCTGTGGTCGGTAGCATGGACTCTGGAATATGAGTGCAGTGCCCACCTGGTGATGGTTGAGCTTCCCACTGTTAGTGATGCATGGTAGATAGTGTAGACTCTGTAGTGATGACAGTGATGTTTAGCACTTGGCACAGGGCAGGGTTTTAACAAGTAGACACATGTGTTCAGTGAATGCATACATTGATGCCTAGGCCAGCTTGCTTTCTGCCCTGTAACTTTGATCATTTTCCATACCGAAATAGACAAATCATGTAAGTCACATTAAAAACATTTTAATAATATCTAATTTGTGATTTGTTTCTGTGACTTCTGTGCTAGGTTGTTCCTCTGAATGACTTCCTCCCCACTGTCCTTAAGAGTTTTTTGTATATATGTTTTAATTATTTCCTGAGACAAATCCACTATGAAGCCCAAGCTGCCCTCACCTTGACTTTCCTCCAGTCTCATGGTTCAAGTGGTTGCCAGGAGTGTGTTTAAATCTTTTTTTTACATTGTCACAATGGGCATTTTTTTTTTTTTACATAAAAGCATCAATATTTGTATATAGGAAATTGTTTTATCTATAAGTTGGCACTGTCAAATTATTATTTGCATTAGATAAACTAGTCTCTTACATTTTTATCTGGGATGTATATTTATGGTGTTAGTTTTCACATCTAGTCAGGATTTGATGCAGTAGTCTTTATCTTCCCCCTCCCCCCAAATATCCGATCATGGGTTGGCACTGAAGTCTTTGTACCTGGTCATCTCTGGGACATTGCAGGCAAAAAGGCAGATGTGAAATTGGTTATTCTGCCCCTGAAGTAGCACACTGTTTCAGCTACCAATCTCTCTCCACTAAGAATCGGAATACAATGCCTCACTAATGGGTTATCTTGTGCCCCTTACAGTTAAGAATGTTTCAGTTTTATTGTATATGACATCTATAAATTGTCTATGCCATTTGTCCAGTTTTCTTTAGGTCATGATTTTCCCAATAAGTGACTTTCTTTTACTTTCTTTTCTATGGCATTGTAGTATTTTCCCTCACTTTTCATTTATTTTTTTTTTCTTTTGCCCTCTCCCCCCATATAGTCGTAAGATCTTTATATACTTAAAAACAAACAAACCAACCAACCAACCCTGTCAGTCGTTTATAATGTCTGGTTTCTCTTTGGAAAAACTTACAGACTTTCTTTTACAAATTTATTTTGGGGCATTCTTACTGTCTTTGAATGTTCTTTAGTCAGTGTTGTTGCCTTTACTTTGAAGTGGCAAAAGGTACTGAGGGTTAAGTGGCATGTCCCTTGCCGACGAGGAAAGTGGACACTTCACAGAGCAACTTCTTTGGTGTATCTCAGACAGGGTTTCTCTGTATTGCTTTGGAGCCTGTCCTGGAATTAGCTCTGTAGACCAGGCTGACCTTGAACTCACAGAGATCTACCTGCCTCTGCTTCTTGAGTGCTGGGATCAAAGGCATGTGCCACAGATGCCCATCGAAGCTTTTTTTTTTTTTTTTAAATCAGTGTTTTTGTGGCTATCTTAAAGGTTTCTTGTATAAGATATGAGGCGTATCAGTGAGTCAGTAGCTGAGCTTTCATTTTCCTTTCTCCCCTTTATCCTGTCTGCCTTTCATTCTCCACTTCCAAGTTACTAAAAGCAGTTCACTCAGAGACGTATCATCTCAAATATCAGGTCATTTGAGCAGGAAGCAGAGATTCTTCTGTGTTGGGGGAAATGGGTTCTAGGACCCTACCAGATAGGGGAATCTATGATGTTCATGTCCCCTCTGTAAATGTACCACGTTTGCCATAGTCAGTGCACATTTTCCCGTTCGTTTAAGTCATCCTTAGATGACCCACAATACCCAGTGCAATGTAAATGCTGTATAGACAGCTGCTTTGCTGAACTGTTGGGGACTAACAAGGAGAACTCTACCTGTTAGATACAGATTATTATTTTTTTTTTCAGGTGTTTTCAACTCATGGTTGGTTGGATCTGGTAGTGAACAAATTAAATTGTTAAAAGGATAGTTTTACATGTGTGCATGTGGGCATGTGTGTATGCTTGTACAAACATGTACAATTGGAGAACAATTTGCAGGTATCGATTTTCTTTGCCTGTGTGGATTGTGGGTATTAAACCCAGGTTTCCAGGTGTGATGGTTCATGCTTTTACCTGTTTGTGTCCTCCAGTTTTTTCTAACAGAGACACAGTTATCTGCATCCCTCCATGGTGACATCCTGTGGTTTTCAGGGGTGTTTCTGTCCTCTTTTCTGGGGTTCCCACACTCGGTGTCCATCTCACGGGGCTGCCCCAAGGTCCCTGTACCAGGGATGCCTCGGGTCCTCCCCACCCCCTAAACTTCAGTGCTCCACACAGATCTCTCTGGGACTGCCTCACCTTGCTCTTCCCTTCAGGGCCACATCCCCTGCACCTTCTGGGGCGTAACTATCCTGACAACTAGTGGGAAATGAATGGTTTTAAACTGTGATGTCACTTAAATAGTGAGACAATTTCCTGGTCTACAGAATGTGGCTATGGGACTCTAGGCAAGGTTTCCAGTAAAGCTGTAGTTACTTAGACAACCAGCTTGAGCTTTATGCTAGGGAAAAGGGTGAGTGACTGGGAGAGAACATCTCAGAGAGTAGTGGAGATTTAGTGTTGGGAACTACTGCCCTGGCAAACCCTTATGGTGACAGGCAACAGCCTCTTTACACCTGCTGCCTGGGTCTATTTTCACATTTCCCAAGGCTGCTTTTCTGTCGCTGGAGTCTCCGTGCTACAGGGCTTAGAGTCCTGCCCAAGCTATCTTGTCTCTCAGTACCTCTCTCCCAACCATGTCCACACCTCTCAGACTCATATTTGCCTCAAGGCTCTAGACCGGTGGTTCTCAACCTGTGGGTCACAACCACTTTGAGTGTCAAAGGACCCTTTCACAAGGGGTTGCCTAAGACTATGGAAATCACAGATATTTGCATCATGATTCATAACAATAGCAAAATTACACTAAGGAAGTAGCAACAAAAATGTGTTAAAGGGTTGCAGCATTAGGAAGGTTGAGGAACCATTGATGGAGACCTTTCTGAACCATGTCTGGGTATGCGCACGACTCCATAAAAGCCACACATGCAGGCTGATCATTACTGTTTTAACTGGTCTTAACTGATCTTGTCATCTCCTACCAAAGGCTCTTGCCTTGTCTCAGGTCACCACGGCTTAGCCTCTCCTAACATCTGATTGGTACAACATGCTCCAACTGTCCCAGCAAGCCTAGGCTCTGTGTTGGCCTTGAGGACTGTAACAGCAGCCTTGTACACTGTCACTACTGTGTTCCCTGCCTTCCAAGGCAGAAGGGGGGGGAGGGCTCACAATGCTTTCTTTATTGAAACATTTTCAGTCTTTTCGTATCGTTATTAAATGCCTACATCCAGAGTGCGCATGCTGAGGTTGCTTCTCCTTCTCCCACATGTACCCATTTGCCCCTTAACGTCATCCGTTCCTTGGGATGTCCTTTCCCTTACTGTCCAGCACAGGGCTCATTCTTCGGGCTACAGGGATCTGTATTGGATTTTTTTTTAAACATAGTTTTGTGTGCCACACATTGTGATTGTGTGGAGTGAGGCGTGATCTCAGTGTGAAAGGCCTTCCCTTGATGTGAAAGACCATGATGTTAAGAGCGGGTGGTCACAAAAAGTCTGTAAAGTTTCATGTCTTCTATCACAGTCACAACTTCCTTTGTGTTGTATGACTGTGTGGAGGGGAGAAGAGGGTGAGCACCATCACTTTGTAAGCAGCTTCTACAGTTCCCCAATGTCTACTAGTGTTCCCGAGTCTGCACGCTCTTCTGTTAGAGTCTAGTTACCCTGGGGTAGGGTCCAGACTTTGTTTCCAGCTCGCTTGTTGTTGTTGCTATTTCTGTTGCAGAAGCTCTGTAATTTTTGTTTAATTAAGATACAGTTGAAAGAATTGAAGTACTTGAAGGTTTAGAATCATGTAGATAGTAGTAGTTGGTGTCAAGAATAGTACTGTTTCTGATGTCTTTACTTTTGGCTAATTCTCAGAAACAGTTAAAATTTTAGGAGGAGCAAGCGCTAGAACTCACTGGAGAGGCATTTGTCTTACGCTGACTGTTTCAGAGAACATGGTCCCAGACAACAGATAGCAGTGCTGGCTGTCATCACAGCTCGAGGCTAGAGCCTGCTTGTCTGTACTGCAGGGGGAAGTGCTTTATATACAGGTTTTTAGTGGTATTTTCCTGAACATTTAGTGAGAATGAGTCTCCTAAGAGAGAAATGGCGGCTTTCCTTTAGTCTCCACATTTCACAAGAGACCTTGTTCTCAGGCCTATGCGTAGAGAGCCAGCAGTCTCCGGCTCACCTCTGCCTTTGAGGACTGTGGCTCTGAGCATTGGGGAGTTCAGTGGTTGCCGTGCTGACTTGGGAAAGGTGTGTGATCTCTGCCCAAGATCTCCAGGGTTCTGTGTCTTACCTGCTCTCTGTCCCCTTACCTTTGCCATTCTCCTGGCTAAGCCATGGTAGTGATGGTTAGACAGCAGCCCCACTGTGCTAACCTCCATAGACAGTAGCCTCCAGCCTTCTTGTAGCCTCTGGGGACTCAGGGGAGCTTGACCCTGCCCTGAGTATTGTGGGAATCTTGGAGCTTTATTTGCCTTCCAGTTGTTGAGATCTGAGTCACCTGAACCCCCAGAGCGGCCTGTGCTTTTTCCATCCCCGTGTCCCCACTGATGTCTCCTTCCTTCCAGTGTCCTGCCTTCACTTGTGCACACCTGTCTCCTACCAGGTGCAGTGCAGGAAATGTATATTGACCCATCACTTAAACATGAAGCTCCTCCCTGGGAAATGCCCCAATTTATTGGTTTTGGGTTTTTGGAAATGAAAATAACTTAGCTTATATATTGATTGTGCTAGTTTTGTCTTTAGAATTTAAGTGTAATATTGAAGGATTCCCGTCTGTTGCTAACACTAAATTTTAATTTTTCTTTACAGGTCAACTTTGTAGTGTGCCAACTCTTTGCCTTGTTAGCAGCCGTTTGGTTTCGAACTTATCTACATTCAAGCAAAACTAGCTCTTTTATCAGACACGTAGTTGCTACCCTTTTGGGCCTTTATCTTGCATTTTTTTGCTTTGGATGGTAAGTAATTATTTTGATCATGCATAAGTGAATGCTGTTAGGTATATTTGAGAATTGAGTGTGTAGAGAGATATATAGGATTTTGTTTTGAAATTTACTTATGGAGTTTCTTTCAAGGCTAACTTTCAAAACAATGGGTTGGGAATGGGAATTTCTTGAGCTTTGTCTTGAGGAAGATTTATGAACAGGGACACAAGGAAGATTTATAAAAAGTCTGTTGTTAAGTAGATCTTCCCACCCATCTTGAAAATATTTTATGCTGAAACAAGCAGTAAATTGTTGTGTTGTTTGTTCCTTTGGGTTTTCTCTGTGCTGTTGGCTCTGAGAGTCTGGGAAAGCCCATTTGATTGACTATTATAGTGTTAGCAACAAAGGGGCTTTTGTCTGTTCTTGGTAGAGAAAAAAAATTAAAAGTTTTTATTCAGGATCCTTCACAAGGGTGTGTGTGTGTGCGCTGGGTGTGTGTGTATGTATGTGTGTGTGCACCCACACATGTGTGTGTATGTGTGCTGGGTGTGTGGTGTGTATGTATGTGGGTGTATTTGTATGTGGTGTGTGTGTGTGTGTGTGTGTGTGTGTGTTGTGTGAATGCAGGCTGGGTGTATGTGTATATGTGTGGTATGTGTGTGTGTGTGTGTGTGTGGGGTGGGGTGTGTATGTATGTGTGGGGTGTGTGTGTGTGTGTGGTGTGTGTGTATGTGTGGTATAGTGTGTGTGTGTGCTGTGTGTGTATGTGTGGGGTGTGTGTGTGCTGTGTGTGTGGTGTGTGTGTGCTGTATGTATGTGTTGTGTGTGCTGTGTGTGTGTGCTGTGTGTGTTTTAGCCCAGTCTTCCTCACTGGGCTAGCCTGAGGCTTACAGTTAGAAGCACTGTAGCCTGTGCTGCTTCTTGGCATCTGTGGGCATGTATGAACGAGGAAAGCAGGGGGGGGGGGGAAGGTACCTAGTCACTCTTGTCAAGGCAGCAGTGACTGTGGAAGGGCTTCTTGGTGACTCACAAATTTCCCTCCTGGGTGAGCACTTTTGAGTGTCCCACATTCACGGACGAGGACTCTGGGTCGCTCTTCTGCAGGTGCCTACCTGAGCTGAGAAGGCTGGGAGAGAGCTGCATGTGTGTTCATTTAATCCGAGCTTGTGAGGTTCTGCAGTGGGCTGGATAGCGGTGCCACTCTTAGTTAGGACAACAATGTGTTTACCTTCAGATGTTCCTGTTTTATCCTCACCAAGGCTACACTGCCTGGCATTTCTTAATCTGTCCTTTGCCTCCAGCAATTGCAAATGTTTCCTAGGACCTCATGGAAAAATCAACTGAGTGTAATTCATTCATGTCAGTTACAATCAATCTACAGCATAATTTATTCTATATCTATCATGTTGCCCTCGGATGGTTCTCTGATGGTGTATGTAGTGCTGTGGTTTTACCACAATTATCTTAAGATCCGAGCATATGGGCCTTTTTCACTTCTTGGATGGCATTACATTTATGTCATTGAAGTTTTCTGAGGTTTCTATTTTGAATTGTAGGAGGTAGTCTATGTTTTTAAACATCATAGAACTTTCCCAACATAGACTAACTGGATGGGCCAGAATTCACTCATTACCCAGCTTCACCAATTACTAATATCCCACCCTTCTTATTTTATTTTCCCCCATTCCTGGACCATATTGAAGTGTATCTCAGTGTATACATCCACCGATAACTAAGTATCTTGTATGTGTGTGTGTGTTGCTTGTTTTCATGAAGGGCAGAGAACACTTCTAGCTCAGATTGGCCTAGGGGCCCCTTTTCTTGGTAATCTGTGGAAAAGCAGGTGTGTGCACTGGGCAGGGGAGGGTGGGGTGGGGGTACAGTAAGTCAGAGTGAGTGAGTTTCTCTACTGAGCTATCATTTGCTGAGGTGTTTCAGCATGTTAAATCTTCATGGATACCTTAAGACAAGGTGGCACAGTCACCAGAATTTACCTCAAGGTTAAGTTGTCTTGAGTTTTAAGTTGCATATGAGATAGCAAGAGACTTATTTGGGTTCTTTATTCTTATTTTCTTATTCTTATTTTGGGTCCTTTATATCTCTCTCTTTGATAAGAGGGGAGAGTAAGTTAACTTTTATTAGTTGGACTTAGCTAATGGTAAGTATTCTTGGTTTATTCTTTAGCTTTGCATTTATTAGTGGGTTTTTGTTTATTTGTTTGTTTTTTTGTTTTGTTTTGGCTCAGAGACAATCCTATCACTGGTTTTTACAACTTTCTTTGGAGGACATATTTGCTCTGTAGATATAATTGCTCACTTCTTTTAGTTCTTCTGTTTAGTTCCTACCCCCTTTTCTTGGCACCTACAAGCCTCTTAAAACAATTACTCATTTAAATATCACTGATAAGACTATACAATATTGGTTGGCCAGTGAGCTGGCTCAGTGGGTAAAGGTGCTTGCCACCAAGCCTAGTGACCCACATGGTGAAGGACAGAGATGACAGACCTGTTGTCCTCTGGCTTCCAAAGGGACATAGGCGTACACATGTGCACACACAACAAACAGATGTGACACAGATTTCCAGGAGAGCACAGGACAAGGAAAGCTTAGATTTTGAGAGACCTGGATTGAGTCTCAGTGCTCTGTGACTCGCAGCCGCTGACTTTGGGCACCTTACCATAATGCCCTTAGCTTTGTAAAATGGAACCAAAGATTGGTTATTGAGGCCTGGAGCACCACAGAGGAGCATGGGATGGTGCTTGTTAGCATGAGCACAGGCTCGACTCAGTGGTCTGTTACAGGGTGAGTGTCCCTTGTCTAAAGTTCTTGGGATTACAAGTGTCTGAGTTTGGAATATTTACATAGACTTTTCTGGTTGAAGATCTGTAATAAATACGCTTGCATTCTGGGATGCTCCAAAATGGAAGTTTCTGAGTAGATTTGTGGGTTAGGGATGCTCAAACCATATTACCATTATCCAGTTGTTAAGAGCGGGAGTTTTTCCATTCATTCAATCTCTTTGTTACCCTTTTTCATATAGCACTGAATTAGCTTCTTACTCCTGTGCAATTGTTTAATTCTTTTAAGGGGCCCGCTACCCAGCTCCAAAATAAATTGCATGGAGTCTTATTACTTATGAATGGCCGGCCTTAGCTTGGCTTGTTTCTAGTCAGCTTTCCTTAAATTGTTCCATCTATTTTTTGCCTCTGGATTTTTGACTTTATTCTATATACCTTTCTTTACTGCTTACTCTGTGGCTGCCTGTGTAGCTAGGTGGCTGGCCCCGAATGTCCTCCTCTCCTCCTTCTTCTCGATCCCTGATCCTCTCTTCCCAGATTTCTCCTCCTGTTCATTTTCTCTGCCTGCCAGCTCTGCCTGTCCTTTCTCCTGCCTTGCTATTGGACATTCAGCTCTTTATTAGATCAATCAGGTGTTTTAGCTAGGCAAAGTAACACAGCTTTCATAGTAAAACAAATGCAATATGAAAGAATACAACACATCTTTGCATCATTAAACAAATGCTCCACAGCACAAACAAATGTAATACATCTTAAAATAATATTCTACAACAGTCATGTGCCTCTCTCTAGACTTTCCATGTGATATTTCATAATCCTGAAAGCCTGAAGTGTCTAGAGTGTTTCCCATGTACTAATGATGACATGTGAAGTAGCTCAGTGAGGGACGGTGTAAGGGATGTCACTGATGTGGTAACTGAGTAGAGTAGGGACCTGCTACTAGTTGTGGAATTCACAAAACAGGTGAATCCAGAGCTGGTCACTTTTGAAAGCCTGATTTACCACAGCAGCAGAGATAAGCATGACAAGTAGCTGCTTAAGTGTTACCCTGCACAAAAGGCAGCTAAGGGTGCTGGGAGTGGGAGCCTGAAGGGTGTCAAGCCACTAGGGCAATGTTTGAAGAGTTTTATTGTTGACTTCAAAGTCTTTATGTCCTAAGGACATTTCCCTAGAAAAGGAAACACTCTCCTCAGGGACCCTCAGTCAGACATGCTCCTCCACCCTGTTGGAGATCCTTACAAGTACCTAGCAGTCCCCAACAACAACATGTGTAAAGGTCTGTTAGTGAACTGTGGGTGTTGACAGTGAATAGGTGGATGATATTTTGATTGATTATTTTAAAGTTTCATTCTATCTTCATTTTTACTTGTGTATATTTTCCTGTCACCTCCTAGCCCTGTGATTATAGCAGCATTCAGGTCTTTGTTGTTTTCTGGATGTGTGTATATGGTGTATATACCTGTGTGTAGGTGCAGTGTATGTGTAGAGATACAGCCTGTATAGTGGGTAAAATGCCTGTCTTCTACAGACCTGCCTTGGGGCCTGGTCCTTATTTGTAAATATGTCTATAGAAAAGCATGCAAGCAGTTTTTCCTCATATTATCTGATGGTCTGTGATGAAGTTAAAAATTAATTCTAATTGTATATCAGGATCTTAATAATCTGTACATAAGAACTGGATAAGTTTGCTATAAACCATGCCATCAAAAAGGGAAGTTGGGAGAGGGCAAGTATGTTTATGTGATGTATGAACTCAGGGATGGTTTGGGCTGAGTGTAGTCCTAGAGGTTCAAATCATATTTTGCCTGATATTTGTTAAAGTGAATAGATAAACTACTTTTGTCATTAAATAGCTGATTTCTGCATTGGGATAATAGAAAGGATTGTCATGCCAACTAGTAAATACATCAAAGAAAATTACTGAATTTTTAGAAGGAAGTTCATTTGAATTGGCCACTGTGCTTTGAGATAAATCGGGGTATTTTTAGTAACTTGTTGTTTTGTGAATTACACTGTCAAAAAGGTAAACACAAAGTAGAAAGCTGGGACTGGAGAAGTTTGGGGAAATAGCAGGCGTTCTGCCAGGACTTTTCTGAAATCTATGTTTATTACTCCTTTTAAAATTACTGTTCCTTGTCTTATGAAGAAGGTGGCCATCCTAGGTCCACATGGTCCCACACCACTTTCCTGTTGCTAGGTTATACGGAGTGCTGGGGCCTTGAGCTCCTTTGGCATGAGGCTTGGGGCTCCCTGTCCCTGGTGTTTGCAGAATGTCATTGGGCTCAGGAAAATTTAGTGTTTTTTTTTTTTTTTGGGCATTCTAGGTTACATTAAGTAATTTTCTACCTATAGTATTTGACTTTGATGGTTGTGGCTGCTTCTAACACGTTCTCCCTTTTTATAGGTATGCCTTAAACTTTCTCATACAAAGTGGGATTTCCTACTGCATCATGATCATAGCAGGAGTGGAGAGCATGCACCAGTGAGTATTGACTATGCTCACACAGAAAACACCGTTCACTTGAGTAGAGTCTGATCAAAAAAAATAATAATCGTCATACCTATCACACCACAATACTCCTGAAGCAGGACGACTTCTTGGGAAGTGGCACAATATAAAATCTTGGTGCCTCCCAGTTCCAGATTCTTTGACACGAAGGGCTTGCACCCCTGGCTCCTACCCGTTAGACACCAGGGGAACCCTGAGTTGTGACAAAAATCAGTGTTCCCAGATATATGCTTGAGGGCAGGATTGTCCCTGTTTAACAGCTGCTGCTTCAGTCTGAATAAGACTAGCAGTAGAGGACAGAGCTAGAGTGAATAGATGTGGACTTAGAAAGTAAATTCACCACTGAGTAATTAATGGGAACTCTGGGAAGGAAGCAAGGGAACCCTGTCCCTATACTTGGTTTGCACACAGAAGAAATGAAAGCAGTTTCTCAAGGTAGGGACCCTGAAGGTAGGGACCACACTGAGAGGTACCCAGCCCACCCCCGCCCCCGAAACAGTGTTTGGTGGGTGGCAAACATTTAGTATTTACTGAATCAGTGAATGTTGACTTGAGCAACTGTGAGACTCGAAGCAGGAGTTGAGTAGGTAGGTAGGCAGGGGTCGGGAGCTAGGCTGGAAGTGTACATTTTTAGTATGTCAAAGGTCCTTGATTGAAAACCCAAGGGCAGTCTGACTGCAGATCCTCCTACTGGTGATTCTATAATAGTGATGAGTGACATGTCATATGCACTGGATTTCTGAATTCCTGGAACACACAGCTACAGCAGTTGTGCATAAGAAATAAGACCCTTAGTGCTTGATTTGCACTTTCCTAACTCTAATTTTATTCCATGTTTGGCACGAATGGTCTTCCCTTCTGTTATGATGTGCTGTTTATTGATTAGTCAGGTTTCTCTAGAACAGAAGCTATAGTGTATTGTATACAAGATGTTTATTAGAGTGGCTTACACCATGTGAGGCTGGATAGTTCGTCAGTGGTCATCTGCATACCAGAGGGCCAGAGAACCCTGTAGTTGCTCTTTGAGTAGAGGGAGGAGCAGAAATGACCAGTGAGGTGGCTCCAGCCTGGGGCTGAAGGCCTGGAGGCCTCCTGGTGGGTCATCAGTGTGAACCCACAGTGACGTGCTGGAGTGTGATGCCTGCAGATCATGGCAGGAGCACTCACTCAGCAAGGCCTAGCTCTATTATCCTTAGCTGGCTTCCTTTACATTTTTCTGTTGGCAGTTGGCAAGCTGGTTGGATAGTACCACCCTCGTTTAGTGCAGGTCCCTTCTGATTTGCTGCCTCACATGCCAGTGTTTGGAAATGCCCTGAGAGATATACCTAGAAGTGTGCTCTGTGAATCTCCTAAACGACCCTCAATTCAATCAAATTGCCAAGATTAACCTTCTTCATTTCCTTACACACTTGTCCCTCAATTCAATCAAATTGACAAGATTAACCTTCTTCATTTCCTTACACACAGCCAGTGCTGGCTTTTCTCTTCCTTCTGTGAACTAATACTTAAAAGTCAATGTTTGGTTTTAATTTTGATAAGAGGACAACATATTTTGATAGTGTTTTAGGTGAAGCAGTTTTTGTGTCATTACAACCTTATTTTAAGAAAAATTATTTTTGTGTGTGAGTGCCTACATGTCTTAATGTGTACCCCATGTGCGTAATGCTCATATATATATAGTTCAGAAGAAGGTGTCAGATCCTGTAGAACTAGAGTTAGAGCATGTGGATGCTGGGAACCAACCCAGACCCTCTGCAAGAGTCATCTCTCCAGCCCCTACAGCCCCATTTACAAAGCCTTGTACAGATAGCAGATTGAGGGTGATACTCATCACTGATGAATAAGAGTTGTGTTTCTCACCCAGGTAGTAGAAGGAAAAGCAGATGGAATTTTTGGAAGCAGGAGTTCTTGGCTGTTACCACCTAAAACAAGGGTGGTAGGCTTTTGTGATGGAATGATAGTTCATATCTTTAGAAATAAAATTACACCTTTTCCTGAAAGGCAGGGGTAGTCTGTGGAGTCAACGCCTTAACACTTTAGACTTGCCCTGTATAGAACAGTAGCTGCTAACTACATGCAGCTCTGCAAATCTGTCTGTCTGTCTATCATGTATCTACCTATCCCTATCCTGTCTGTCTGTCTGTCTGTCTATCTATCTATCTATCTATCTATCTATCTATCTATCTATCTATCATCTATCTATCATCTATCAATCATCTAACGATCTAGCTGTCTATCTGTGTATCTATTTATCTACCTATCTATAGGTTTTTTGAGGCAGGGTTTTTGTATAGCCTTGGCTGTCCTGGAACTCTCTCTGTAGATTAGGCTGGCCTCAAACTCCTGCCTCTGCCTCCCCAGAGTGCTGAGATTAAAGGTGTGTACCACTACACCTGGCTTTAGCTCTGTTAGTTTAAATTCATTAAAATTTAAAATGCATTGTTTTAAAAGCCCAACATGGCATGCATCTATAATCTCAGCACTCAGGCTGAGGAAGGCAGTTTTTGAGTTTGAGGTTATCTTGGACTACATAAGATTGTCATAAAAACAAAATAAAACAAAACAAAAAACAAACAAAAAAAACCATAAGCCAGAAACAACAAAACACCCAAACAATAATAATAAAATAATAAGCATTAATCCAATCTCAACAGGTCACCCCTAAGCACATACATATACATATGAGCAACACTCAATGGATTCAGGATGTGTGTGTAGATACATGTATGTATGTGTGTAACAGTAACAACCATGGAAGAAGAGGTCATAAATTTGAGAGGGAGGGGGTGTGGTTGGAGATTGAGAGGGAGGAGTGGAACTGTTGCGGACTTGATATTCATATATGGAATTCTCAAAAAGTAATTGTAATAAAAAACTTCAGTACTTATTTGTAGTAGCTTCTCTTCAGGTGCTCGGGAGCCACATGTATAGGGTGTTTGGTGGTGAGTGTGACAGTGTGTGCAGAGAGCATTTGTCCTGGTGGTGAGTGTGACAGTGAGTGCAGACAGGGAACATTTGTCCTGGTGGTGAGTGTGACAGTACAGAGAGAATTTGTCCTGGTGGTGAGCGTGACAGTGAGTGCAGGCAGATAGCATTTGTCCTGTTGCAGATGATTCTGGATAGCGCTGCTGTGGTGATGTTCAGGGGTGCACAGTGAGCAGTGCTGCCCTCTACAGTATTTTCAGGGAGGAAGTGTGCTATCCACGTGCTCATAGGGCACTAGAACCCTGGGTTCTGACCCTGCAGGTGGAGGTAGGGAAGGCTGGGCCTTCTGAATTGTTGGGGTTAGAAACAAATAATAGGTGGATGAACAATTAGGGGGAAAAGGTGGGGGTCTTGGTTTCTGTGAGGTCTCCTCTAAATGCTAACATTTTAGAGCACTATATATTAGGCTATTAATTCCTAATTAATATAGGGAGATCTCTGCTGGATTCTTCCAACATTTTCCAAAGCAGGGTTTGGCAAACTGTCTTTATGATGGACCAGATAGTGAGCATTAGGGTTTGAAGGTTATGTAGCTTTTGTCACAACTATCACACACACATTCTTAGAAAGCAGAAGCAACGGGAGTGGATGACCTCCAGTAAAATTGTACTTAGAAAGACAGTAAAGCCTTAGACTCAGCCATATTGTCCAATAAGGAAAATACCACAGGATGTGGTGTAGTGCCTGGGAGATGTGTTCTCAGTAAGTGTCCACTGAATTCCAGTAGATAGTGGACCGCTGCCTGATAGCAAATCCTGTGTAACCTCCTAGCGTTGCTGTCCAGCCGTAGCCTCTGCCTCCAGGAGAGTCACTGGGCTACACTTCAGCCCTGCCTTGCAGGAGTCTTGCCATAGCTTCTGCCTGTCCTCCACAGCCCTCCCTCCCAGGAGCAGAGCTGCCTCCTTGATTGCATGCCTGGAGCAGCTGCTGCTGGGCTGCACATTTCTTTCCCTTTCCCTGGAAGAGAAGGGGCTGAGAGCAAGGCGAGGGGTGTTGGGAGCCTCTTCACCTGGTCATGGAAGGGGGAAGGAAGAGATCGGGGCTTCCCACATCCCTGTGTGCTCAGGAAGGCATTTTTCCCTCCAGAAGGAAGCACAAGAGTGGGTGGGTCCCATGTATCCCAATGTGCTTTTCAGATGTGTGGAATAAGCTCTTATGGACGTGTGTGGGAAGCAGAGTGCCCTTCTTGTATTACTTAAAAGAAAATTCTGTGGGGAATTTTGAGTTCCAGAAAGACGGCCTCAAAATTTTACAGAATAAGAGAATGGCCATTATCTTAATATAAACTGCAGAAATGTAGACTAAAATGGGAATGTGGAAAGCGTGTTGGTCTTGAGAAGTTAAGCTAAAATATCTTCTTTGTAAGTTGGAAAGTAATTGCCAACAAAATCAGTGACCCGGAGATTAAAGTGTGAAAAACGTGAGCGCTCACAGTGAAGTCACAATATGTAAGGTCTCGGTGCTGTGAGGGACACCTTCAAGAGCTGCAAGAAAGAGGTTGTGGTCACTACTGACTCCAACATCTTACAGAAGGATTGATTTTGGCTTACATATTTGGAGGGTCTCATATCACCAAGATGAGGCAGGTCCTGGAGGTGGGAGCCTGTGGCAGAGAATAATCACATCAAAGCCAGCAGAATGCTGGGGGGGGACTCAGGTCAGAAGCAGGGCTTTGACCTCAGAGTCCCGCCCTTTGTGACCTACTTCCAGTAGATTGGCTCCACCCCCTCAAGATTCCATAGCCTCCCAAACAATGCCAACACCAAGGGAATGAATAAGTGAACCCATAGGGGACATTTTGGATTCAGACCATTAAACAGGTTATCATGAGACTGAGATGCCCACCTGTGTGGACCAGCTGTTTTCATTTACTGTGAAGAGACACTATGAGCACTGCAACTTTTACAAAGAAAACATCTAATTGAGGGGGCTCACTTAGTTTCAGAGCTTAGTCCTTCATCATCTTGGGGAACATGGCAGCATGCGGC